TGGTTCCAGGATGCTAGCAGAATGATGATGGACCAACCAACAAAGATAATAAACAAACAGACACAGTGCAAATTGAACCATTTGTGTTTCAACACCAGAAAAAGAGGCGTAAAACCCCAACTTGTTCTTACTGTCTCCAGGCAGGTCACCAGAAATCAAACAATCAGGGGGTAGGTTGGTCTGTCCTAAAAAGGCGGAAGACATTATGAAACCAGCCACTGCAGACCATATGGATACTGATTGATCGTAACATTATGTTGAACTGTTCAAGGAGGCATGGGTGGCATTCCAGGGTCTCCGTTTGTCATTAAGGTTCTATACATAAAAGTATCTGAAATTCAAGCACCATTTCAGTTGTTATTAACCAATGTGAGAGAGTTGGTTTTCTTACGGCGTTTTTAACGGTATCTCATTGCAAACTAGTATTAATTCAATGGGTGAGTGAGTGAGTTTAGTTTTACGCTTCATCAAGCAATGTTCCAGCTATATGGCGTCGGTCTGTAAATAATCAGTCTGGACCAGACAATACAGTGATCAACCCGAATGAGCATCGATCTGCGTAGGGAACAGATGACCTCGCCAACCAAGTCAGCAAGCCTGACCACCCGATCCTGTTAGTCGCTTCTACGACAAGCATGTATTACTGAAGCTCAATATTCTAACCGGATGGATCGCCATGGGTAAATTCAGTGGGAAGGCTTGCAACTACACAGTTGTGAACAGTGGAACCTGCTGTTGCAACTTTAGTCTTCATATCATGCATTGCACAATAGTGTCACTACATGAGAAGATATCTAGATCCCAGTAGGATTCGGACCAAAACCGCTTGATCAAAAATCGACCACTGTCTCTCCCATAGTCTCTTTGTAACCTCAGAATGCATGCAATCAAAGAAATCAAATTAATATAACTTTGTTTTGTATGTCTAGGTATCCAGTTGTTCGATCTAAAATAACCACACGCTTATGACTTGTTATCTACCAGGTGTATTGGGTAAATAAAATATTCATGCATAATCATAAAACTTAAGCTAAAAGGGACCACTTCGACCATTCACATGCGCGTAGCTATTTGAACAGATGAAAATAAAATTCGCTTTTGCTTTATCACACCTTATCTGTTAACAACACACATTCAAATGAGCACACGGTAACTTCATACTTATAATTGTTTTATGGCTGAAAGAATACACGCGATCTCTTTTAACCCGTGATTTTCTCACTGAAGCATTTCTACTAACTTCTAACCCCACCATCATTTAACTGGGCACTACATTGTCAGTTTAAAAGATATCGGGTTAATTCATTTTGCATTTATTGGGGAAAGCTTGTAGATTATGAATCTGTCCTTATCTCAATACCGCACCATGTGGTCCCTTTACCGGTAGCCTTCCCATATTATTATCTATCCAGTTTTAAAATGGATACAGTTTCAAATTATAAATCTATGCTTAAGTAAAGTTGGGAATTTTTGTGATTCTTAGCAAAGTTTGAGTAGTATATCTGGTATTTGTTAGTGTGTGTCACTTTGTACTATACTACTTATCAAAAGCTTAGATACTCACTATATGTTATGTATATATATGTGGTTACGTCAAAATGAATTTGTCCACTAACTTGGGGAAACAACTGCAAACCTTATGCATCAAATTGCTGAAATGCATGTGCAAATATCGTGCATGTGAACCACTGGGTTTTGGTGTGAAGTTTTTGAACTCATGAAAATCATCTTTTCAACATTATGAATTTGTTTTACATTACATCAGTTCATGTATAAAGAGTACCCTTAAACTGTATAGAATGTTATGCAAAATCTAGTTTGGATCAGTTGACTGAAGTAAGTGGCTATATTTACACTAGTGAGTCAAAACTTTTGATGGGGAGTGTATGTGAGTGAGTGAGTGAGTTTAGGTTTACACTTCACTCATCAATATTCCAGAAAAATGGCAGCGATCTGGAAATAATCGAGTCTGGACCAGACAGTCCAGTGATCAACAGCATGAGCATCGGCCTGCGCAATTGGGAACCGATAACATGTCTCAACCAAGCCAGCGAGCCTGACCAACTGATCCCATTAGTCGCCTCTAGCGACAAGCATGGGTTACTGAAGGTTTATTTACACCCGGACATTCAAGGGTTCTTTTGTACTATATGAAGAACAGTTAACAACTTACCACATTGAGAGCTTCTGTGTTTTGTTTTGTTGAAACAGACACTGATACAGCTTAAACTTGACATCAACTTCAGATATGACATCCTGAAAAGTACAGCATTCCAAGTGTATGTCTACATTTCAATCTTCTTGCCTGAACGAGATGAAAATCATCACCACCCTCGTGAAAGAATAGTTTTGTTAATGTCAAACATGTCTAATTGCTGGTGGAAATGAAATATATTGGGGCTATTGCTGTATGCAATCACTATTTACACAAGTAGGTGTCTGAATATAAAGACATTTTAAATATATTTCATTTTATGATAATTATTCAGAAAACCTTGATTTCAATGTGATGAAATATGATAAAGATATATATATATAGCACCATGAACTAGTCACAAAGATGTGTTTCGTTGAAATTCTCAATTGACTAACTTTAGTTAGTCTGAACAATGTGAAACTCACAGTTGATCCTGAACATTTGCCTTTTGATTTGTTGATGGCTTTTTTCAGGAGCAATGACTTCCCTGAATATACTCTGAAACAAACAATCATTACAATGTTACTGTAACGTGTTTAGCGTTATGTTCATGTTTGTTAGTGTTGGGAATTGGCTGAAATCTCACAATTGGTGATTGGTTCAATACCAACGACCAATCATCGAAAAAAAAAAAATTGGTTAGCATCATTTTTTAGATTTTCCTATTCAGGTTGTAGTTGCAGATCAGTATAAACAAAAACATTTGGTTCTCTGTTGTTTTAGAAACTGCACAAATTACATTTGCAGATTTCACATCCAGTGTAAAATGATTCAGTTCCAGTGTAACATTAACTTCCCAGATTCTTCAAGAAATATTCAGTCATGACTTTTCAGAAAGTGAAGTGAGTTTTCTTAGAAATAAACACGCTTTCAGGCCCTGACAACGTCCTAGATATGTTCCATCATCAAATATTTCAAACTCTATAACAGCGGTTCCAAAATCGTTTGTGTTCGATTATGAGAAAATGTGATCGACATTTGGTCAAGTTTATTTACTACACAATCTTCATTAATTCAAGTAAATCGACCACCACTAATGTTTGTTATTCAAAACTGGCCTCAAACATCCTGAAGAGACACCAATGCAATGACATTAGTATCACAATGCTTTTCAGATCATTGGGACATCACTCGGTTACCAAGTCATCACAATCAAATAACACCATAAAACTGTCTACCACAGAAGCTTGGTTAACTGTATTTTATAAATACAGTGGGCACTCCTTATTACTGATTATTGCAATAGTTGGTCGCAATAGACTATCAAATATCGCGAATAGCTGTTTCCTCAATATGCACCCTACTGACAAAACCCCAAACATTGTATGGGCAAATCGGAGATTCAAAATCTACACAGGTTTCTGGTATACCCAGGGGAAGCAACCTGTACAGTGAATTGTAAATGACTTTGACAGGATGCCCTTGTACAGCATATTGGTTAAAACAATCAACACTCTGCTTGGTTTTGTGGTTCACTCATTGTCCCGAAGGACTCTAGACTGGGGTAGAGTTTATTTTGAACAGCTGTCTTTTAGCTGGGTGCTAGCATTTAACAGTGAACTGTGTTTGGATTGTGTTGTAAATTGTCACCATTTTGATACATGTGTGGAGACATATGAGAGATAAGGCAGCCTGCCTACCTCGGCTTCTCTTTGAACTCTTCTGTGTGGTATAGGGAAAAGTCTCCAAAATGAACAAGACACTGGTATTTCTGTGGTAGTGACAGCACCTCCATCTCTGCACTGTTGTCACACAAAGACAACACAAAGGAGGACTGAAACAATTATAAGAAACAATAAACTCATTGAATGAACAAATATTATATCATCATATTATTGTTTTTAAGCAACAAAATCGCGTTTTTCATTAACCATTGAAAAACCCCCAACTTATTGCAATACATTCTAGACTCCATACACACATAAAGAAATCCTTCACTGGCGTATACTACATGTAATCTCTAGAATATTGCACGTGCTTGATCCTGTAAAACACTCTACTGTTATCAAAGAGTGAAAAGAAAAGTTACCCCAACGAAATCCAAAATCCAAAATAAGTCTAGACCAAAATTTATGAAAATGCTATTCATGATAGAAATCTTTGTGAGGAAAACAGTTTAACCGAAAAATGTTGCCACTACAAATTAATTTGGTGTGCGTGGATATTTGAATACATCATTACCAAATGTTTGTAAGATCGCCATAAAGCTCTGCTTGATGCAGTTGTTTGATATGGTCGTATAAGTTCATCGTCTTTCCTTCTTTCGTTCTCCCGCAAATCGTACCTGAACTCGCGTCTAATAATAATACATCCAATATTCTATGTTTTCAGTGTGGTAATCTAGATCGTTGATTGGTTGTGCGGTAAAATCAACCAGCGAAAATGCACACTTTTGCAACCATTTTCAGTGTGTGAGAAAGGAAAAGGAAGTGCTCGCGATCAACATCCGCCGGCTTTAGCCCAGTATTCCACGCGTGAAAGAGTTTGTTGTTGGAGTTGGTTAGCGCACCGTGTAACAAGCTAATAAACAAGTCAAATAATAATAATTTATATGTACGGACATGCTTTTGAGTAAGTTAGTAGCTGGATCTGACTGTAATTCTTTGTGAAATCTGTGGATGTTTGAACCAACTTTATTCAGAACAGATTTCATGATACACCCCAACTCTTCAAAGCTGGTCTGATTGATTGGAGTTTGAAGAAAGAAGATGTTGTCAGTTGATCAGAAACAAACAGCAACATTCGTGTTGGGGCTTTGGAATTGGCATTGCAGTTGGATGGATGTTCAAGGCAAGGTTTTACCAGACGAATAGGCAAGATGACGGCAAATGCTACAGATGATGTGAGTTCCATACACTTGATACAATTTGACAAACCTCTCCTCTTCTGTCAAGAAAATGAATGTTGTCATTTCATCCTCAGATTATTCAGATTGTGACATAATGAATGGTTTATGGTCAATGTGATTTTAGTCTCATCTCTCATACGACATTGTTAAAGCATAAGACACCATATGATCAGATCATATTGTCTCCCTTTACAGATAATACTTCGCTTACTCATTTGATTCTTTTGAAACAATTTCATCAGTTTCCTAGATCATGGTTTTTGTTGTCAGACTTATTGGACGTGTTTTGTTATTGAAGAAAAAATACTGGCCATTTATGTTATATTTGCTGATAATAATAATAATAATAATAGTCATTATGGTCTGTCTTTATAGCGTTATGAGATCTTTCTAAAATGAAATAAGGTTGCAGACATTAATTACCACATGCCCTTTGGTATGGTTTATGCATGTTAACATTGTCTCAAATTCCCATGCCCACTGTCCTTACCAACAGTAACCCAGTCTCATTGTACATTCAGTTGTGTCCGCAAATAGTCTCTCAACAGCAAATGAGAACTAGGTGGTAGTGTTAAACTGCCATGCTGAAGCCATATATCCCTGCTCCTTTAAAGGGTTTTCTAATGCGAGATGTAACATTGAACATGGGATGTTTTCTTGTTGCAGTTGTCCCGCCCACTCTTGGCATCAGACTCAGGAGAATACAAGATGGTCATCGTCGCCCGCACTGACCTCAAGATGGGCAAAGGGAAGATAGCAGCTCAGGTGAAAATGAACCTTTGAAAAAAATGCCAAAGGTTTAACATAGAAATTACAGCTGACCAGACTTTCCATGATAATACCAGTCTGCAAGTTTAGTCACTAGTCTAAGTGTCATTCTAGTAAAATTCTGTTGGTCTAAATAAATCAGAAGAGGTAGGGGTAGTCAGACTTCGCTGACTTAGTCATCATATCCAAATTTGCGTTGATGGATGCTTGATGCCAATCACTGGACTGTGAGTTCCTGGCTTGATTAAATTTAGACCACTGTCACTGAACTGGAATATTTTTATTTGCGGTGTGTAAAACAACAAGAAACAAACATTGAGTTGGTGCTCATGTGTGCAAAAGTGTATGTATTCAATCAAGATTTGTTTAGCCTGTTCATTTTAGAATGAAATGATCAGGGTGAAATTGACTGGAACTGCAATTTATTGGTAAATGTGCACAATCTAATCTCTTTCATGTTTAAACTGACACTTCTTCATTCTGATTATCCAACATGATGATAGGAACTACAGTCTGTTTGATTTCATTTGAGACCTATGAATTGCTCACTAACACAAAATCAGCTGTGTGAGTTGCACATGTGAAAGTGAAATTTTACTACACATGCTTGTTGATTACCGGGCTGTTCTATCAGCTAGTGCCCCTGGTAAAATATAGAGAAAAAGTTACAACTAACTAAGGATCGTTTGTTTAACAACTTTTATTCGGGTGTCCAAAATTATGAGAAAAATCATCAGAGTTGGTCTGTCGATTGCATGTGACTGTGCAAAATTTGGGTTTATGCAATTAATAGATTTTGTGTTAGTGAGCAATTCATCATCTCATGAAATTAAACAGACTGTAAGATGAATGCCACATGTCTCCGGCAGTGTTTTATTGAATTCCCTGTGTTCTGTGTTCTGTATTCAGTGTGCTCATGCAGCTGTAGCAGGGGCTGAGAAGGCATTCCGCAATAACCAGGACCATCTGTACAAGTGGCGGTCAAGTGGTCAGCCAAAAGTAGTGGTCAAGACAGATGATGAAACATCCTTGTAAGTCCTGGGTATCCATGGTCACAGAAGAGGTGGTCACAGTATGACCTGGGGCGGTGGGGTGGTGAAAGCGTTCACTTGTCATGCCAAAGACTCGGTTTCGATCCCCCACATTGGTACAATGTGTGAAGCCCATTTCTGGTGTTCCCTACCCTTGAAGATCTGGTTAGAATTGATCTTCATCCCATGCTTGTCGTAAGAGGCCACTAATGGGATCGCATGGTCGGGCTCGCTGACTTGGTTGACACATGTCATCGGTTCCCAATTGCGCAGACCGATGCTCATGTTGTTGATCACTGGATTGTCTGGTCCAAGCTCAATTGTTTACAGAACAGTGCCATATAGCTGGTATATTGCTGAGTGCAGCGTAAAACTAATCTCACTCACTCAATCTGGAGTCCCCGCTAATGATATTGCTAAAAGTGGCTTAAAACCCAACTCACTCCCTCCCTCACTCACAGTAAGACCTGTGTATGTACTGTTATAACCAGATAACTTGAAATTTGGCTACTGAATATCAATGCTATCCACTACAGATTTTTCCGTCCAAGACAAGATTATTTTTAGACCATCTTGATTGAGGTGTTGATGAAAATGACATGACAAGCAGAATACATAATTCTACTACAAACTGGATACATACTCTGTAAGGTAATGATCAAGGTTGAATATACAGGAATCTTAGGTGAGGTGAAATTGGGTTTAACGTCGCGGCTTGAGAATATTTCGGCTCATATGACGCACGGACATGCGCGGTGTATGTGTGTATGCGCGGCTGCTTGTACTAGCCCAGATTTAAGCTGGTTTTATAGTGCTAGCCCACTGAGATACCATGCGCGCGAGTGAAGCATGAATACCCCACTCAGACACATTATACTGACTCGAAGCCGACCAGTCCTTGTTGTACCCATTAATGCCGGCGCCAGGCAGGGACCAACAAGTACCATATTTTAACGATCTTTTGGTATGGACGGTCAGGGATCGAACTCCAGCGACCTTCGGCTCTCGGGACGGATTTAACCACCACACCACAGAGGCGGACACAGTAATGTTAGATCTAGAATGAGGATTTATGTGCATCACCTACTTTTGCTATCAATTTCGATCAGTTTTGCCATTTATGATTATTGTGATGTTTAGGTTAGCACTGGCGAAGGCAGCTCAGTCAGCTGGTCTGACAACAAGTGTTATCAGGGACGCAGGTCGCGCACACAGATAGCTCCAGGGTCAAGGACAGTGCTGGGAGTTGGACCAGGTCAGTTGCTTGCTTGTGATTCAGAAACCTTTGAACCCTTTGTTTGTTTTTGTTTAAAGCCACACACAGCAATATTCAAGCTATATGGTGGCGGTCTGTAAATAGCTTAGACATGGGAAATGTAGCTTACACATGGGCGACACATAGAGAATACTACACGAGGTCTCATTACATACCAATTATACCAAACGAGTTTCCTTCCTATGGTATCTGACCAAGCGAAAGTGAGAGGTACACAAAGTCTGTGGTCTGGACTACCAGTTGTCTGACTTCCATTTCAGTGTAAGCCGCAGTGGATGAGTGGCTGACTTTGTCTGCTGGCGATTAGGTGTCTAACTCTTAGGGTGTGGGTTCGAATCCCAGATGGGACTCAAACCAACAAAAGTACTGGAATCTGTACTTACTCAGAGCTCCAGATAAGATTTAGCTAATGTGGGTACTGTACCCACTGTATTTTTTGGGAGTGGGTATTATGAATGTTGAGTGGGTATTTCATTTACCGTTACCCACTGCTTTCAAATATGTAACGTATTTCAGTCATTTTACTCACCTAAGTATTGTGTCATTGAGCAAGTTTACTAAGCAGGTATGTTCTGCCTTATGTCATACCTAATCAAAACCAACTTAAATATAAGGGAAATGATTTCATAAAAACAGTCATCCTACACTGACAGTACAGCACTTGTGCTATACTCACAATTACAACTTGATAGCAATCGATGTCTTTTTCATTAAGCAAGCGATTTTTATATGTATATTCCATTCCATGCAGCATTTGTTTTAAACTCTTTAGCGTATTTAAATCTCGTAATTGGTAGTGCATAACAATTATATATTTCAATGCCTAATTGGAAAGTTTCTTTGCATATTTTACCTGGATACGCAGCTTATCTGGGCCTCTGTTTACTGAGAAAGTGTAGTCTCAAACATAACATGTGTCACATTTGACCACATTCTCATGGCATTGTGTATGATATGTTTACATGATTTGTTTCAGGTCCTGCTGAACTGGTGGACAGAGTGACTGGACATCTCAAGCTGTTGTGACCTCTCATGTATATTATGCACATTTACCTGTAAATAATCATCTGTTTTAATAAATACTGACTCAAAGACATTTAAAGAGAATATCTTTTTATTTATATATATCCCTGATAAAAAAAGTTGTTCATCATCATCATCATCATCATCATCATCATCATCATCATCAGTGATGCAGAAGACCCAGTTTCAATGCCCTACATGGATACAATTCACGGAACCCATATCTGGTGTCCCCAGCCATGATACTGCTGGAATATTGCTAAAAGCAGCGTAAAGTAAACTCACTCACTCACTCACCATCATCCCTTGCACTCAAAGAGGTAAGATCATCAAGCTCCATAAATGTGTGGACTTGAGCAATGTGAAAGGAAACCCATGAATTTAAGCCATATTACGAGTACATAAATAATTTTACTTCCAGCCTTACTTCCTAACTACCAAACACCCTGCCTTAAATTATGTCAGTGTCTTAAGGGACGTGGGGTACCGTGAGTGGTTACAGTGTTTGATTCACGAAGTCTGGGTTCGATTCTCCACTTAAGTACAATGTGTGAAACCCTGTTCTGGTTTCCTCTGCGTGATTTTACTGAAATATCACTAAAAGCAGCATAGAACCTCACTCACTCACTCAATGCGAATCATGATTACCACTGACAGTTTAAGATACAAAGATGACTGGATAGTTTGTTCAGTTAAAAATACACAAAGACATTAAACAAGTGTATCAAACAAATACAAGGGTGCAAGTAACCCATTGCCCGACGCCCAGTCCAGTGTTTTGTATATCACGCTGTACTGGTGTCCAGTTGACTTTCAATGTTAATTATGTTGTTTATTTAAAAATCAACAAGAAAATCAGCCAGTAAAGTGGAAAAATTATCAGGGCAAGTGATTTTACATGTGCCACCGTGCGAGATTACAATAGCAATATTAAAGTTATTTCCACCCTGAATTATACATCTGGGTGATAAAAGTAAGTTCTATTTTTTCAAATTAAAAAATTACCAACTCAAGCAATATTTTGGGACTGGTCATATATTTTAGGGAGGGACTCAGGAATAAATGTTCCATGTCTCAGTAGGATCATATAAAATGGTTACATAAATGTGGTGCTCAGAAAAATATGATGCAGTCCTCATACCAAACTTATTTGCTGACCAGCCCCCAATTAATAAATGACCAGTCCTTGAAACTTGAGTTCAGTACCAAACTTGTCCAAAATGTGGCAACATCTTTGAAGGATTTTCCTGCGCTGCCTCTTTACTGTGGAATTCTCGCAGAACAATTTTCAACGTTCTGTCTTTGCCAATCTCGGCCAGAGTTTGGCGTCCCTCGATGATACCCTGACGTCGCATTATGTCCACCTGCTCTAGGTTGGGAAGGTTTATTATAAAGTCTAACACACATGCCTCTGTGAAGTTTCTCACCATAGATATGTTAATATTTACGTAAGTTCTTTAAGTGTCTTTTGATTGATTTGAGTGTAATGTCTGTTAAATGCTGACACTGGGCCAAATTCAGTGACGTCAGGTTTGGCAGTTTCTGAAACAGATTGGAAAAACAGATTAGTACATGAGGTTCTTAATATAAACTACTTGACTCACTATAATAATCTCCCCAGATGGAACTTGAAATTGGACAAAGGCAGGATGCTTATTAGAACTAGGGTAGGGTAGGGTAGGGTAGGGTAGGGTGTAATGTAAGCACTCTGCAATATTCCATCTATATGTAAATAAAAGAGACTTGACCAGCCAATCCAGTGCTTAACGTCATGAGCATCGATCTAGGCAATTGGGATACAATGACGTGCAAACCAAGTCACCTCTTACAAGCATGGGTTTCCGAAGACCAATTCTAACCTGGATCTTCACGTGTCCTGTTAATGAAGTTGAATTGGTTTTCAGCAATTGTGTGGAAGTGTACAACAAAGTTCATTCATTGATGAAACTAGAATATTTTTTTATAATAGTTTAAACTCAATTGTATACAATTTCTACACTTCTGTTTTCTGCAAAACCAACAAATAGAGAGCGGACTGTCCTGTAAGTATTCAGTATTGGAATACAGTGTGTTCAAAGACCACTCACAGATTGGTCTAGGATGGGGGGAGTGTTTAATGTCGTGCCAGTTGATATTTGTGAACAAGAAAGCTCACCTTACTATAGATACTGACATGTTTTATAGTTCGTTCCAAACTGTATTTATTTGTATTTGTATTTATTTTTATTTTAAAATGTTTGTTAAGACACACATGGCAGTTTTCCAACTTTATGAGTTTGGACCCACAACTGATCCAGTGACTGACAGCATGAGCATTGATCTGTTAGTGACAGGCATCAACCAAGTTAGCCTGATCTTCAGTATAAGTAAACTTGGGCTCAGTATTATTTGTTACACTGCTAATTGAAGGTCGTGTCAGCTAACCTTTTGGACTGACCAATCAGAACCACGGCTTACCAAATCGTGAAAGTTAACATTCACACATACCGTTTGAACCTTTACCTAAAACCCGAGCGATTCCAAATGCTATTTTCTGCATGATGCGGCTTCCGAGTGATACGCCAATGAGTAAACAGTCGCTGAAAATAGCGTTTTTGTCAATATTCAAGGATGTCATCTTGCGAAAATATCACGCGGAAATAGTAACCATGTCATTAGAAACTGTGTTTTAGGGCGGATTTTCGTTTGTTGATAGATCAGTGTCAGCGACCGGCGGAAGAAAATCCTAAAAACGTTTTGTAAGTCCGGCCAAACCCTAACAAGTAGTGGATTTGTCTGATTGGATTTAAATCCGTTGAGGCGGTCATAGGTTGCTCAAAGGTTAGCTGATCACGACCTTCTACTAGGTTTTGTTAGACCCAGTATAGCAGTGTAGCGAATGATACTGAGCTTAAGTTTACTTAGACAGGCATGATCTTGTTAACCACAGACTCTTTTGTTCCTTTTACATAGACTGGTATGAATCTTGACTACAGCTTGTGTCATTTACATTAACTAGCTAAATTTATCTGTCATGTAGCTGGACTAGCAGAGACATCAGACTATACTCTGTGTACCTTGATTAGCTGAGACATCAGACTATACTCTGTGTGTACCTTGACTAGCTGAGACATCAGACTATACTCTGTGTTTCTTGACTAGCTGAGACATCAGACTATACTTTATGTACCTTGACTAGCTGGGAGACATGAGACTATACTCTGTGTACCTTGACTAGCTGAGACATCAGACTATAATCTATGTACCTTGACTAGCTGAGACATCAGACTATACTCTGTGTACCTTGACTAGCTGGAGACAACAGACTATACTCTGTGTACCTTGACTAGCTGAGACATCAGACTATACTCTGTGTACCTTGACTAGCTGAGACATCAGACTATACTCTGTGTACCTTGACTGGCTGAGACATCAGACTATACTCTGTGTACCTTGACTAGCTGAGACATCAGACTATACTCTGTGTACCTTGACTAACTGAGACATCAGACTACACTCTGTGTACCTTGACTAGCTGAGACATCAGACTATACTCTGTGTACCTTGACTAGCTGAGACATCAGATTATACTCTGTGTTTCTTGACTAGCTGAGACATCAGATTATACTTTATGTACCTTGACTAGCTGAGACATGAGACTATACTCTGTGTACCTTGACTAGCTGAGACATCAGGCTATAATCTATGTACCTTGACTAGCTGAGACATCAGACTATACTCTGTGTACCTTGACTAGCTGAGACATCAGACTATACTCTGTGTTTCTTAGCTCCAAAGCTGAGACATCAGACTATACTTTATGTACCTTGACTAGCTGAGACATCAGACTATACTCTATGTACCTTGATTAGCTGAGACATCAGACTATACTCTATGTACCTTGACTAGCTGAGACATCAGACTATCATCTGTGTACCTTGACTAGCTGAGACATCAGACTATAATCTATATGTACCTTGATTAGCTGAGACATCAGACTATACTCTGTGTACCTTGACTAGCTGAGACATTAGACTATACTCTATGTACCTTGACTAGCTGAGACATCAGACTATAATCTGTGTACCTTGACTAGCTGAGACATGGGGAGACTATACTTTATGTACCTTGACTAGCTGAGACATGAGACTATACTTTATGTACCTTGACTAGCTGAGACATGAGACTATACTTTATGTACCTTGACTGAAAGCTGAGACATGAGGCTATACTACATGTACCTTGACTAGCTGAGACATGAGACTATACTCAGTACTGATAGCTGAGACATCAGACTATACTCTGTGTACCTTGACTAGCTGAGACATGAGGCTATACTACATGTACCCTTGACTAGTTAGAGACATGAGACTATACTCTGTGTACCTTGACTAGCTGAGACATCAGACTATAATCTATGTACCTTGACTAGCTGAGACATCAGACTATACTCTGTGTTTCTTGACTAGCTGAGACATCGAACTATACTTTATGTACCTTGACTAGCTGAGACATGAGACTATACTTTATGTACCTTATTGCTGGAGACATCAGACTATAATCTATGTACCTTGATTAGCTGAGACATCAGACTATACTCTGTGTACCTTGACTTCAGCTGAGACATGAGACTATAATCTATGTACCTTGATTAGCTGAGAGACATCAGACTATACTCTGTGTACCTTGATTAGCTGAGACATGAGACTATACTCTGTGTACCTTGACTAGCTGAGACATCAGACTATACTTTATGTACCTTGACTAGCTGAGACATCAGACTATACTCTGTGTACCTTGACTAGCTGAGACATCAGACTATACTACATGTACCTTGACTAAGCTGAGACATGAGACTATACTCTATGTACCTTGACTAGCTGAGACATGAGACTATACTCTGTGTACCTTGACTAGCTGAGACATGAGGCTATACTTTATGTACCTTGACTAGCTAAGACATGAGACTATACTACATGTACCTTGACTAGCTGAGACATTTGAGACTATACTCTGTGTTACCTTGACTAGCTGAAACATCAGACTATATCTGTGTACCTTGACTAGTTGAGACATCAGACTATACTCTGTGTA